TCAAATCTAATCCTTAGAATAGTGGTTTTTTAAATATCTAATTCAGGCCAAAAGATTGACATTTAGCCCTGTATTTCGCAGCACTAACTTAGTAATCTGCATAACAGTAGTTTTCTAACGCCAGAAAAACTCTAATTTGGGCTGAGATGTCAATCACTTAGCCTAGTATGCTCTAGTATTGGTGGTTTTTTGAGATTTCAAAAACCACCACAACTTAATTTCTGCCAAACAGAAAAAATTTCAACTCTTTATCAAACTTTTATATAAACTCAATACTTTGTTTAGAATACTTTAATGCTAGTTTATACAAGTACTGTATTAATATGAAAGTAAAGGAATTTCAGTAAGATAAGTATTAGTTTACGAATATTAGAACTTTGCGTGAATATAGAAACTAATTATGATTAAAGATAAATTTTAGTAGAAGGTGACGATAAATATTAGGTAGATAATTTAGATTTAAAAATGAACTGATTTTAGTATAAATTTTCATATTTAGTACTTTTTCTTTCAATTTATGTGACCTAAATAGATAGAATTTTTCTTATTTATGTTATTAATTTGCTTAGATTTTTACTCTACATTATTTAATTAGGTAAGAATTGAATATTAGTAAGCTATGGAATTTTCATAATATATCACTAATATATTTTATCAGATAAGAACTAAATAGCAAATACATGGAATATTAGTAAGTAGCGATGTGAGTAAAATAAAATAATTTGGACAATATTTAGGCAGGTGAAGTAATAAATTAGTTTGATTTTTTAAGCAAGTTAATATTTGATTATAGAGTAGATATATCTGTAAAATAGTGTTAGAAGGTAAGATTTAAAAAGCGAGTGAATCATTAATAACTAATACTAATCATTATATTATTTTATATTGTATTCAAATTTTATAATAAGATGTGTAAAAGAGGTAAGCTATATTGAATTTTATTAAAAGAAAGAAGTTTAATATATAGGAACAGTTTTAAGGTATGCTCATAGTGAAATATTTGTAAAGCTGAAATTTATATTTAAAAAATTTTTATTTTTGACTTAGTGAAGATCAAAAACTATAAAAACAAATAAATTCTTTTATTTAATTTAAAAATGTCGAGCCTGACTTTCTAATTTAGTAATTCACTTATGTCTTTTATCCATATTTGTTTAGGTTTAACTATTTTATGTGTTATGAATGATTGGACTTATATATAGGTAAAAGTTAATAAGCTAGAAAACACTAGTAAAAGATTGGTATACAAAGAAATGAAATATTATAGTATATTTTAAGTTGAATTAGATTTAATTTTATTTGCTATATAGGCAAGTTTTTAATACTTTAATACTATTCTGAAAGATAGCATAAGATAAGTAGCTTGGTTAAGTATTCTAATCAAAGAGTTCTTTATTAAAGAATATACTTATTTTATTTAAATTCTTATAGATCAAGAATTAATTGTTTTTAGTTTTAGATTATTGAACTATTAGAAGCAAGAACGGTGATTATAATATATTAGTATTTGAGTATTAGTTATTAATCATTATTGAATTAACAAGCGATATTTTTTATACAAGCAAAGTTTTACTATAAGCAAAGGTGACAAAAGATAAGTGTATTTCTTCATAATTCTAGTTATTTCTTAAAGTATAATTTACTAAACATTTTAACTTGGATATTTTAGAAATTTATTATAGTATTCTAATAGCTATTAATATTTAGATAAGCAAATCCAAACCATTTCTTTGCAGATATGAAATAATAAAGATTGTAAAATAGTGTATAAGCATGATACAGAATAATTAAGTTTATTGGATAATAATTTTACATGTTTGGAAAAATGAACATTTAAGTAAATGAAAGATCAATATTTACTATAGCATTTGATTAATATATTATATTTTTTCTTGTAGTTCTTAAGTTTTAATATCAATAATCATTTTTTGAATATTATCATTAATTCTCAAATACAACTCAAGATGTTTATTATGATTAATGTCCACAATTTCAGAACTATGGTTTACAGAAAAGATGTCCATCTTATTAAACCAAAAGATCGCTTCTCACTCTTTTGTTTCCAGATTTTTAATACATAATTGAAAATCATTTAAATTATTTGATAAAACAAAACAAGGAATTTTATCAAATTCATGTAACTTATACATATACTGAGCACGTACATCTCTTACTCTATATTTTTTTGAAATATTGATAATTTGTTCTTTCTTGCTTAAAAAAATCAACAGAATATTAGCATCTCTTTTTTCAATCACAATATACTTGTTCTCATTTACAAGCTCAAAGATACGATATCCCGTCTATTGTGTCTTGCTCATTGAAAAAGTTTTATCCTTAGACATTTCCTTATTAAATTTATAAAATTTTGATAAATATGGATGATGTTGATATAAGTATCCTTTCTTTTTTTTAAAATTTGGCATTTTTAATTAACTTACTGGGTTTGTATATATATATATATTTTTTTAAAAAAAAAGAACTGTTTTTGCTAAACAGAAACTTTGTAATTATATCGAAGAAAAATATTAGCCCGATATAAAGAATATATATCAAATAAAATTAATTCTTAAATAGAATTCATAAATCAATAAAAATTTATTTGATAATCATTTACTATATTTATCATTTAAATAAACTTGATATAGATAGTAATATTCAATTTGTATGATTATGTAGGTATTTCCAATACTTATTATGTTAAGAAGTGTGTAATCGAATTTTAATTTTTATTTACAGAATTAGAATAAAGCAATAGCAATGCTCAAGATCACAAGTTACTTTGTACAATTCTTAATAATATTATAGCTCTTAAGTTAATTTTTAGAAATGAAGACTATGAATACGTGATAAAAGCAAAAAATAATATTTACTAAAGCTAGGAAATATTATTCTCTTACTTTAAATAACCTAAACTATTTTAACACCTTTTGTTTATACAATCATTACCTTTATTACACTTACATATATTCAAACTAATATCCAGATCTTATCTAATTAATTTAATAATATAATGAAAATTCTATAATTTCTATTTTCACATTAGTTCTTATCTAATTATATTTGTATTGAAAAGAATTTTTTTTTATAAAATAATTCATCATAGCTTCCTAATCTATCTGAAAATATCAAAATTATTTATGATCACAGTACTTATCATTAAGCTTTTTTAGTTTACTTGCATATTGATTTTAAATTTCAAAGTGATAGAGTATATATATGGATTTTAATTAGCTACTTTTATTCATGGATATAAGCTTCAAATATTTGCAAGATCAATATGAGTTGGTCACAACATGACTTTAAATGCGATAATTATTAATCAACATTGTTGATTACTAATATGTGAATATAAATACATATTATGGTATTATATTAGTATAGAAGTTTTTATATAAGCTGTGACATGAGTGGTGAAGCGAATATTACTAATTTATATTTATTAGGCAAAATATGAGCAGTATTGAATCGTATTTATTAGGGAGGATCTGAATATTGATAAGCTATGATATGATTAGTTTGTTATTATGTATTGGTCGTGATATGACTATAAGCATGATGATTACTAATCAACATTGTTGATTATTAATCTTATTTGATTAGATAAGATCTAAGTATTGATAAGCTATAATGCAAATACGGATGTATAGTAAAAGTATTTAGATATTTGTAAGGAATAATGTTGTAAAATTAGCAATTGTTTAAATTAGTAATTTGTTTACTATTAATAAAGTATATAAAGAGACGATTGGTAAAATTTACCATATCAGAATAAAAAAAAATAATTTAAAAAACAATTACCGATTCTATCAGATTATGGCTACTGTTTTTTATTGTATTCTATATATAAACATGTTCAAATACAAAAAAAATATAACTAAGAGAAACAAAAAAATTCAAGAGGAGGTATTTGCGCATATAGGTCAGGTTTCATTATGTGTCAAGTGCCAGAAGAATCATTGGCATTGTAAGCATAATAACTGTGAAAACTGTTATAAATTGTATGAGTATAACAATTTTGTGTGTTTTTTATATAAAACTCTTGGTATTGAATGCAAATGAGTTCTTCTACAAACTCAAGAACAATATAAACAATTAGAAGTAAAAGATATTACTTATACATCTAGACAACCTAAACTTACTAACAAGGGACAATTATACGAGCAATGTTTTTTACAATTTAAAGACAGACAAATGATCAAATCAGTTAAAGAAATTTTTGGTTATCATTCTATGAGCTTTCCTAAGTATTTGCACGGTAACTCAGATCAAAATCATGCTTATAGTATAAAACCATAGAATCATTACAAGGATCCTCTTCATGCAAAAGATTGCTGATATGATTTTTTTAAATGAGAAAAAATTTGTAGTACAAGTACTTCTAAATGTATCGAAAAATATACTCATGCATGTTGGGTTGATAATGAGCATGAGCTTGGGCCTTGGAAATTGGTAATTATCGTTTTTTGTTAGCATCAGCCGAATTTCTTGATATTAAAAAAGAAGATGAAGAACATGTTGAACATATTATTCAAAAAGGTCTTACAACACGTGAAATATTAAAAGATTTGGTAAAATTGGCTCTATGACACTTTTATAGATTATTCCAAGATTTGGATTACATTAGCATCTGTCAAAAAAAAATTCAAAATGAATCCTTGAAACATTTTTGGCATCCTGTTACGTTTTACTTTTATGGTGATAGTGGTGCTGGAAAATCAAATTTGGTTCAAAAAATGGTTTCAAAAGAATTATATTCGAAGCCAAAAAAACAAAGATCAGATAGCAGCTGGTGAGATGGGTATGATAAGCATGAAATTGTTTTATTTGATGAATAGTACATGGTTTTGGATTGGAATGATATCATCAAATATCTTAATAATACGCCAGAGACTGTTGAGCAGAAGAGTAAATTGTTTGTACCTTTTTTGCCAAATATGTTTTTATGACTTCTTACAAACCACCAGAAGAAGCTTTCAACTTTTGACGAGTTAATATAAATGATAAAACATCAACCTAACGTGACTGAGGTCAGTTTTATTAACATCTTGATTATATCATTGAGTTTAATAGCACATGGCATGATGAGATAGACCAACATACCACTGAACTTATATTTCACAAGAGCTCGGAGAAAGAATTTCGCAACATGCTCTAGGACATTAAATATGATAAGGGTGAATTCACAGTTAATGAGCTAAAAACTATAGTTCAAGAGTTAAATCAAGAACAGGATAGTGAGATGATTATCAAACAGAATCAGGTTTACTGGCATCGCCACTTTTCTGAATTTAAGAAGAAATACTTATGAACTATTCTAGATGCCGTAAGCTTTTCAACTACAAGCAAGAGCTTTTTTCACAATCTCAACTGGTCTTGTCAATTGCTAAAAAGAAGCCTCATAATGATCACAATCAAACTGAATCTGAATCTTGTGACATGATGATAGTCAGCAAGAATTTAGCACCACAGCTGCATCTCGTAGACCAAACAAGCATTTGAGGCATTAAATCGAAAAATTCTTAAGTGACTTGAAACATGATGATGTAAATATACCAAATTCTTGCTTGATACTTGACAATGAGTATTTTGTTAATAAATCTGTAGAAGTTACTAAAATGACTGATAAGTATGCCAACAGTCAAGGTTGAATATTTTTAACACAGTGAGAAATTATAGAGAAGCAAAATGGGGAGAGTCATAGACTTAATAATGAAAATGTATCCAACTAATAATTTAGCTTAGTAAACATTATTTATTTATTAGTAATAAAAGGACTAATTACTAATTTGATTAGTAATCATTATTAGTTTTAATAAAAGGACGTGATATTTCTTTTTTGAATATTATTTTCAACATGGATTTAAATAATTTAATCTTGTTTAAAAATAACTTGGATGATTTTTGATTATAATAGAATCGCTGTTTAATATTATATTTAATAATTTGATTTAATTAAATATTATACAAGTAAATCATAAATTTATCTTAGCAAAAATGATTTCTGTAATTTTGAATTTCTAAACTTGGTTTGTTCTGCTTCCAAAAGTGATTTTTAAATTTGGTAATATTGGATTTCTAAACTTGGTTTGTTCTGCTTCCAAAAGCAATTTCTGAATTTGGTAATATTGAATTTCTAAACTTGATTTGTTCTGTTTCCAAAAGCAATTTCTGAATTTGGTAATATCTAATTTCCTAATTCACAATTATTCTAACCAAAAGTATTTTGCACTTGATATATAATGTCAAAATTCTATTTAAAAAAATATAAATATATGAGTACAATAAATATTAACTTTATTCATAACATGAAATGCAAAAACTCTATCAAGAACTTGTTAGTAAACAAATCTTTATGATTTCAAGATCCACAACTTTTTTTAAAAAATATATTTATAATGATCAATATGAGTTTTATATCAATAAGCATGAGATGGGATGTGGCAGCCTAGTGAAGTGGTCTAGTCGTCACTCCACCAAGCAGCAGGTTTAGAGTTCGAATCCCACGGATGACGTTTTTCAAAAAATAGATTTGCATTAGGTAACGATTATCCATCGATCGGTTAGATCTAGAAATCTGTAATCTTGGTTGTACCATCTAGAATAGGAGCTTCGGCGTAGAAATGCCAAGAAACCAGAATGATCAAAACCCGTTTAGGAAGATCTGAGTAAGGAATAACTACAATCTTCGACAGTGCTACAGGAAAGACCCAAATTTGGAAGTTAGGACCGAGATTGGAGAACTGAACGACAACAAGATCCTTTAGTGGGGGGATTTACCAACCTGATCGCCAATTTAGAAAAGCCAGAAATCTGCGAGGCCGTTATGGAGTACACCAACCCTGGCCAGCTGGCATGGGAAACCAGTGGTGGGGGCCCTACCTACCAAGACTAGGGGCTATGAAAGTCGGGCGGGAAACCAGTCGGACAGAAAAATGCCAGGCATGTCCAGAGGACTAGCCAACCAAATTGTAGGAAAAGGACATGTGCTATGAAATCATGTACCAAGACGAAACGAGGGTACCAGGCATCTAATGCCAAGCCAAGGTCGAATCTTCCGGGTCATCGGTTGGAAGTAAGGAATGGACTAATAAGGAAATAATAAAAAAAAAAAGGTCTGAATGCAGGTATTGGGATTGAAAAGTGAACCTTATAAGAGCAAAAGCGGTTAAATGAGTAATAGCTCAACTGCAAGTAGGAGTCTCGGCAACTGCACAAAACCAGGTTGGCCCAAAATGGGATAGGGAAAGCTCTAGTAGGTTTATCTTATAGATAGTTGTATGTCCACAAGTGCCTAGCCAGGGGGCTAGATAATAAAATAAACTTACAATTTAATATTATTTTTATTATAATAAAATGG